TCATGGTTTAAAAAGGCTATGTTTGAGTGAGTCGATTTAAACCAATTTATGCTTATCATCACACGCACTTATTGGTCTCCAATAATCATGAATAAAATTATTATGTATTTTTCTTTTAGCTGGGCTGTGGATGTATATGTCCACCTGTGACTATATCCATATTATTAACCATATATTTCGAAAAAGCGTATTGCATCTTTAAAATAACTTGACAGCCTTGAATTGACTTCTAATTCATTCTAAATAAAAATATAAAATATAAAAACCACATACAGTGGCGTCGAAAATTAAGTACCCATTTATTTATTTTTTAAATTAAGAAAACATAATCAAATGTACAAAAAATTAATTTAATGACTAAAAGACATACTTTCCATAAACTTTATATTTAAACAAAATAAAACAGGTATTACATCCTAAATTTGAATTAAACCTAACTGCATATAATTAAACTGAAGAAATCATATTCTTAACTTTTACAATCACCTAAAAAACCTATTTACTATTTTTTACCTCTAAAAAGTTATATGAATCGGAAAATTTTCTTATGTGTATAATGTCTATCAAGAGGAATAAATTAACGACTTATGGCCTTTAAATGGATCGCAGCAGACTTTACCAAAAATGTTGGTAAAATAAAATAGATACTTTAAAAAATATTTTTATCCGAAATCTGCCGAAAGTAGTCAACAATCGGCAGTAAAGTAAAAGAAATCGGCAGTTAAGTAGAACTTTATTTCTTTTACTTTTCTGCCGATTGTTGACTACTTTCGGCAGATTTCGGATAAAAATATTTTTTAAAGTATCCATTTAATTTTACCAACATTTTTGGTGAAGTCTGCTGCGATCCATTTAAAGGCCATAAGTCGTTAATTTATTCCTCTTGATAGACATTATACACATAAGAAAATTTTCCGATTCATATAACTTTTTAGAGGTAAAAAATAGTAAATAGGTTTTTTAGGTGATTGTAAAAGTTAAGAATATGATTTCTTCAGTTTAATTATATGCAGTTAGGTTTAATTCAAATTTAGGATGTAATACCTGTTTCATTTTGTTTAAATATAAAGTTTATGGAAAGTATGTCTTTTAGTCATTAAATTAATTTTTTGTACATTTGATTATGTTTTCTTAATTTAAAAAATAAATAAATGGGTACTTAATTTTCGACGCCACTGTATGTGGTTTTTATATTTTATATTTTTATTTAGAATGAATTAGAAGTCAATTCAAGGCTGTCAAGTTATTTTAAAGATGCAATACGCTTTTTCGAAATATATGGTTAATAATATGGATATAGTCACAGGTGGACATATACATCCACAGCCCAGCTAAAAGAAAAATACATAATAATTTTATTCATGATTATTGGAGACCAATAAGTGCGTGTGATGATAAGCATAAATTGGTTTAAATCGACTCACTCAAACATAGCCTTTTTAAACCATGAAATGGCTGAAAGTCAGGTGGGCATATTGTGTATTTTGCTTATAGCTGGGCTGTACATACAGCCACAGCCCAGTTAAAAGCAAAATACACAATAATTTTATTAATGGTTATTGGAGGCTAATAAGTGCATGTGATGATAAGCATAAATTGGTTTAAATCGACTCACTCAAACATAGCCTTTTTAAACCATGAAATGGCTGAAAATAGTGATTTTTCGAAAACATGGATTTTTATTATATTTTTTTGAACTCTTAGCCAATATTATTTGAAAATGTTTTCATTGCTTTTATACAGTATAGAGTAAGATCTATGGTAACAAACTACATTAAAAAAAATTTGCTGGCAAGTTTTTATAAGAATATATGAATTTATAAAATTAGACAATTTTGCCAAAAAATTGCATTTTTTAAAAAATTCCCAAAGACCATTTAGGGCATCAATAACTAAATGTGTCCTATATGGTTTAAAAGAGAAATATTTTCTTAACAACTAACAGTTTGTTTAATGTCGATAGCTTTATTAGCAAAAAAAAGTACAATTTTTTTAAGTTAGGTCTGCATAGTAACTTTTGCGTAGCCCTGTATAAATAGGTGATAGGGGGAGAAAAGAAAAGGGGAGTTTTTTTCACTTCTTGGGTCCATGTCTATTTACAGTTAAAAAATAAATAAAATTAGAGGATATGAGGTGCACCCATTGGTGGCTACTAAATGGAATTACCCCTTAGCAAAAAAGACGCATTTTAAGTATACATACATTTTTAAGTACTATATCTCCTAAAAATTTCTAATTTATTTTAATTTTAATTTATAAAGTAAAAATGTGGACTTGCGTCTTTTTGGCTAAGCACGGTAGTATCGCTCTAGCGTAAAAATACTGTTTGTTAATTATGGATTATTTAGGATTGCTTGTTTAATGGTAATTTAGTCCAGGCCAAGCCCAGGCTACTTATGGTTGTTTCAAAACCAAGAGTTGGCAAGATGGATTTTTTGCGGTTGGTTAGAACTTGCCAAAAGTCCACACTCAAAAGCCTTGTACAAATTCCTATATGTATATGTATAAGTAGCCTGGACTAAATTACCAAATTTTGCAATATTCTCTTATATTGAAGAATTAAGACTAATATTTTTTAGGTTTGCACTCCCCAAACAAAAACATATTCATGTATACCGATTGTGTATTTAATATGTACATATACACTGAAAGAAAAAAGCGGTCAGCGGTACCCATGGTAATGGTAAAATAGGCGCCAACCAATAGAACCTTAGTTGCTACCATTACAGAATGGTAATGAGTTATTGTTACGAATTGACATTACAGCAAAGTGATCGTTACCACTACTGCTTTAATTAAATTTTACCACTACATGTTGTTATACAATAACCGTTTTATTAAAACCTTTTACCACTACACACTGTTGAAACTTACGAATACATATTGGTATATGGTACGCTTAGTATATTATTTTAGCTACTTAAAATAGTTTTTAAAACAGGATATAACAGTAAGGCGAACCTTAGCCAAAATCATTGTTTAATTTGTATTATTGATTGCACTTACCCCTATAATTTGGTTTTCTCAACAGCACGGTAAGGTAGTAAATAAATGACAATTATATTAAAAACATTCTTTATTAAAATAAAATTATTTATATGAAATTCCACAAAAATATAAGTTAAATAGGACCTACAAAAATTATGCAATAACTAAATATAATAAAAAACATGGCGGATCCTTAAATTATCGTACAAATATCCTTAAATTATCGTACGAATATTTTTAGAGAAATTGAATTATGCAGTAAAAACCCAACCCAACCAATATATAAATAACATGTGTTTGTTAATTTAATTTTTGTTTGTAGTTTTTTTTTCTTCTAAATTAGTGTTGCGCAATGCGCACACTTCCTAGTGAATGTGAGAAGTAAAAACCTTGCCGGTAACATAGGCATTAGGTAGGTATTATTTTAAAACATCGAGAGAAAACGAGTTATAGTTAACCCCACAGACCACCCTGTGGTTAACCCCCAAAAATCAATATTATAATACCTATAGGTAAAATGCGTTTTACGATCCGTACCGGTTAAAATGGAGTAAAATGGAGTAGTTCCACAATATCCCAGTCCTTTTATAACTGTTCCACACCTACTCACAACACGATAAAAACAGTATAGTATGATATCACAAAACTACGCACTATGCAAAGCCGTAAACAGACAACCACTAAATGGCCAAATTTTCCGTTGCTTCTTGATTCGTACCAAATTTCATTAATTATAACATTATTAGTATTAACCACTGTAGTGGTAAACGTCAAAAAATTACTATTTGTAGTGGTAAGCTATTTATTACGAACCAGTTGTAATGGTAAAATTATCCATGACGCAGAATTGTACAATTTTTAACTATTTTGTTATAATCCGTGCTACTTATAGTAGTGGTAAATTTAATTTACAGAGTATACCATTTCGTAGTGGTATGTATCTCTCATTTAATATTAATCCTAATAACATTGTCCCTGTTGTAGTTAGTCAAAGTCACTTTACTACTACAAAAGTAAAATAAAAGTAAGATAATTTTTTTCAGTGTAGATGTATTTATTTTATTTTATATTATATTATTACTACAATAAATAAATCTTATATTCATACTTGTTTTATTTAAAATACAGCAGTAAATACAATATATAAAGGCACCCTACTAAGCATCAACATTCAAATATGGCGCCAATATATGTTACAGAAATCTACTTCAATTTTTGGAATTGCTAAAGGTATTGTAGACCTAGATGGCGTTAATTTACTTTAGCCTTTTGCCGCTAGCGCTAGTGCAGTTTCCAATCTATGGGGTGTATTATCTTTGGAAGTGAGTCTTTTTGTGCTGAGCTCAAAGTTTGAAGGTCGACCGGCGTCGACGCGAGACGAGGGCCTAAAATTTAGCGAAGCACAAAAGACACTTCTTTGCCGAATGTGAAGACTCAATTGTATTTGTTAAACGAAACAATAATTAATAATAAAAAGTAAGGTTAGATAGATCGGACAGAAGTCGAATTTTTATATTGATCCAAAGTAGTCAATAATAAATTTTTACAGCCTAGGCCATAAACAATTTAGTCCGGTTGGTTTAAATCATATTTAAGTGCCTAAGCGATGAGATATAAAAATTAATATTGTAATAATCCATAAGCAGCAATATTTTAAATCTAGGACATTTTAGACAGTTATTATACATTTTTGTACTTATTTAGGATATTTAGATAGGTTTAAGCTAGTCTTAGAATATTTTTATAACATTTTAGATAGTTATAAGACAATTTAAATCATTTTTTTAGTTTACAAGCCATTTTTTAAATAATAGTTAGGACAGTTCTAAGACTAGGAAAGGTTTTAAGAACATTTAGACAGTTTTTAAGTTATGTTCAGGAAACTTTAGAATTACAACAGTTCTTAGGACATCGAACCCTTATTATAAAACCGCCATTGATCTGAAAAATCCTTTATTCCGATCCTGCTCAAATGTACAAAGTAGGTATTGATCGGTAAAGCGTATACTCACGTTTGCGAAGCTGCCTGGTGATTACGTCACAGTGAGTGTTCTGCTGACGGCGTAGCGCGTCGCGGCGCTTCAGCTGACGCACCAGGATGCTGCCCATGCGCTCCACATGCATCTTAAGGCAGTTCACTATCGAAGTCAGCTCATCTGCATCTGAAATAGTTATTGAGTTAAAAGGGTTCCTCTCAGACTAAAGTGCTTTTCATGGGTTTAATAAACATTTTTATTTTAAATTGAACTAAAAGTATAAAGAAAGAGTTAAGTTATCTTTGTCTTTGTATTAGAAATCGTAAAATCTAATAAAGCTTTTTTCCATTTGTAATCGGTTACTGGTAATAATAATAATAATAATAACTTTTCCTATACTTAAAAAATTTAAAAATTCAAAAAGTTTAATAATAATAGCTGGAGCACCATATTTAAAACAACCTTTTTCCACATGCATCTTAAGGCAGTTCACTATCGAAGTCAGCTCATCTGCATCTAAAATAGTTATTAAGTTAAAAGGGTTTCTCTCAGACTAAAGTGCTTTTCATGGGTTTAATGGGAATTTTTATTCTAAATTGAACTAAAAGTATAAAGAAAGAGTTAAGACTTTGTATTAGAAATCGTAAAATCTAATAAAGCTTTTTTCCATTTGTAATCGGTTTCTGGTAATAATAATAATAATAATAACTTTTTCTATACTTAAAATAATTTAAAAATTCAAAAAGTTTAATACAACTAAACTGCTCGTCATAAAAATCGACGCACCTAGTTTTTTGGAAAAAATTTGAAAGCTCGTTATTGGAAAATTACTGAATCGATTTTGAAAATCTTTGCAAATTCTAAATAGCTGATTCTTTGACTCTTATGTCTAATTTTGGGAATACGATATTTTGCACATAGCATTATACTACAGGGTCAAAGAGTCAGGTATTCAGAATTTCCAAAGATTTTTAAAATTGATTCAGTAATTTTGCAATAACGAGCAGTTTAGTTGTATTAGCTAGCTGGAGCACCATATTTAAAATAACCTTTAAATTTACTTGTTAAATGCTGAGATATAGTCATAGAAATAAACCACTTTTATTTCTGTGGATATAGTATAATTTTTTGTTTGAATTTTTACCATATTAACTGAACTTGGCAGTTTTATTAAATCAAGTAAATATACAGGTTGTTTCGTTCTTATTAGTTTTTGCAAAAAAGTGGGAAATAAGGAATTTTCATTTGAAATACATTCATTTGATTTAGCCTATTTAAGAATTGTTATATGATCTTTAAAACACATATCTAATGCAAGCATTCTGAATACGCTTTTGCCTGCTATACATGGTTAAGTTATTGTAATAAACAGAGGTACAGTAATTAATATTAGAATAAGCAAGCGATTTTACTAGCATTAATTTTGTTTTCTAATCAAGCACATATTTAAGACTATTTAATGATTTAAGTGTAAAAAATAAAGATTTGTATATATTATTAATTTGGATATTAAAATTTAATAGTTAATCCAATGTGTTTTTTTTCATGATCTACCCAATTAATTTTTTTATCAATTATTGCCAAATTAAAATTTTTAACATGTTTTAAAACATTTTACGATATCCAAGCTACAAATTGAGATCAACACTTGGGAACTCCACATTTAAGTTTTAAATCTATGGAAATAATATTGTTTATTTTCACTTTTTGCTTTCTGTGAGAAAAATAGTGGGAAAACCACATAAGTAAAATAAAAAAGTTAAAAACATTTGTGTAACATTTTAATTTTGACTACGTTTAATTTAATACAGTTAACACTTTTTTACCACTACTTATAAATTAACATTTGTTTCCTGTAAATGGTGCCCGCATTTTTTACGGAAAGGGTTAACTGACATTTCGTTAAATCTTTCAGATACAAGATTGACGAAATGCAGTTAAAATGATGATTTTCATCAGTACAGTCCATCCGTCAAAAAATTCCGAATTGTGTGGATTTTTCAATGAAATAATAAAAATTTAAAATGATATAAAATCTGTATAATTTTGATTTTTTAAATGAAATTTGAAAGTTGTCGATAAACTATGGTAAATAATAAATTGCAACAATTAAATTTATATTATATTTATTGGGGGCGCCATGGGGCCGGTATGGCCGAGCAAAAAGTTATCTTTTTTTCGCAAACTTCAATTTAAATTATGCTTGTGCAGAACTTGTTTATTTAATGTCATTCTAAACTCATATAAATTTGGTGAGGGTCTCATATCTAATAATTGAGATATCGGTATACCCAAAATCCCCTAGCCGCCACTGGATAGGTAGGTAGAATTATTGAGTTTAAAAATAAATATGTTAATTTTATTACCAAAACCCAAATGCCTCGGAACAATTATAATGGAGCATACAAATGGACATTACTATTATCCGTAACTGTACATGCATGTGAACATCCTGAAATTATTCTGAAATTTCACAATTAAGATATTTAGCATGAAATATGTGTTATTTAGATCCTAATTCGATAGATTTAAGAGCCATTTATTTTTTTATCGTCGAAAAATAATTCAGGTTTGAAGGGGTTAAAACCCATGCTAATAAATCGCGCTATAATTTTTGTTCTGCAGAATGTTTGTTGAAAATTTGATTAAAACGGATAAACTTTATACTAATTGGATTGTAACGCGGAGTGTTCATTTTGAGTTATGTTAGTACGAAAGTCGTTAAAATGGAGGCCAAAAACCGAAACACTTCTCGTATTTGGAGGTAGTAAATGAACTTTATCAATTTACTTAAACGACCCAAATTCATCAAATTTATCACCGCGAATATTTAAAAAATTAGCATATTTTTTCACTTTTATAACGATAAATTTTACAATATTTAAAAAAAACCCTAAAATACAAACTACAAAAAAATTCAATAACAAAAAAGTATTAAACCTTTTAATTTTGTGCAGTAGAAATAAAATATTTCTATATGGGCTACCGAAATTGACAACTGTCAAGAAACATAACAACCCGCGTAAAGCAAAAAAAAATAAATAAAAATAAAACTAGTTATACCTATAACCACAAGCCACACAACAAGGTCTGTTCTATCTCGTAATAAAAATACAAAAAATCACTTCAACACTGCACAGAGTTTAACGGCGGCCATTTTTGTTGTTTACAATTCTTGTGCTTTGGGTTTGTGCTGTTTAATAAACAGTTTATACAGATTAATAATCGTTTTAAACGTTGTGTTTCTTACAGAGGTACTTGTAAGCATCAAATAAGGCCTTAAAGTGCTAAGGACAACCATTTTACTCCACTTTTGTAAAAAATAGACCTTATTCTAGAGCTGTCATCAAACTGTCAAATGTCAATTTTAAGGTTAATTTATAAACCACAAATTAACCTTCAAATTGACATTTGACAGCCCTAATAGAATAAGGTTTATTTTTTATAAAAGAGGAGTAAAATGTTTGTCCTTGGCACCTTAAGGCCTCATTTGAGGCTTACAAGCCCAAAGCACAAGAATTGTAAACAACAAAAATGGCCGCCGTTAAACTCTGTGCAGTGTTGCAGTGATTTTTTGTATTTTTAGTACGAGATAGAACAGACCTAGTTGTATTGATTTTGCCTATATCAAAAAAGTTAAATCACGACATATGCGAAAACTTATTAGCAGTGATACGATAAAACCGCAACGGGTATATTTGTATATAAAAATAGAACATACCAAGTTTGATAAAGTTTTAATTACTATTTTACTTATCAAATAATATGTTTCATAATTTTATGTAATAGGTACCTCTTAAGAAAGTTTTGTCAAGAGTAACATAATTTTAAGTTTAAGGAAAAGTTTTAAAACATTTTATGTCCAATGAGACTGTTGCTGAATACTTGAAGTGAAGGCAAAACTGTTTCCAAGTCAACAGATGTCTCTATAAACAGCATAAACGGACTGCTATGGGAAACTCTTTGTCCCCCTTTTTAGCCGATCTTTTCATGAGCCGCTTTGAGAAGGAACTTAGTAGCTCGGGGTATTTTTCGAGGATTTGGTTAAGATACGTGGACGATATCTTTGCTATTTTCGATAAAAACGCTTGCAGCTTAGATGATTTTGTTACCAAATTGAATAATTGTATTCCTTCTATTAAATTCACCTTTGAATTAAAATATGGCCAGCTACCCTTTTTAGAGTTCGATATCTAGAGAAAACCTACAAGCACTGCAAGTTACATTACTTTAGACTCGAACCACTGCACACAACATAAGCAGGCTAGTTTTAAATTTCTTGTTCGTAGGTTGATAAACTTTCCACTTAGTAACAGTAGATACAGAAAGAGCTCAGTTTTATAAAAGAGATTGCTAGAGAAAATGGTTTTGAACCAACCCTAGTAGATAAGTTAGTAAACAAAACTAAATTCAAGTATCTCCTTTCTAGTTTAACGACTTTTCAAACATAGCTAACAGAGCCAGCAAAAGTGAAGTTTATGACTATTTCTTTCCAACCCCAGTACACCCGAGGTCAGGAAGGGATTTTTCGAAAACTGGACATCGAAATTGCTTTTAGTTCAAGCAGCAACACACAGCAGCAGCAACATACCCTTTTAGGCAACCCTAAAGATAAGATTCATAAAATTGAAAAGTCTACGCAATAAACTGTCAAGATTGTGACAAGACATACGTTGGACAAACTAAATGATCCATCCAAGTTCGGTTCAAAGAGTACTTGGCCCATGCTATATTTGGTAGGACAGATAAATCGAGTATTGCCCAACATATACTTGCTAGAATAGGATTTAACAACCTTAACTAATTAAGGAAGTTAGGGAACCATGTCTTCTAGATAGTTATGAAAGTTTATACATCTATAAGAATAGAAATAAATCTTTAAATAGCGATAACGAACCGGTACCCAACTCTAGATTGTATAAATTAGTTTGTTAGTTTCTCTTTACGTGTTCACTGAGTCGATTACGGTCCACCGTTTAGTAAACTCTGTCTCTTTACAGTTCAGTCAACCTTAGCTTATAATTAGTATAAATATAGTAGATTTAGCATTTAGATTTAGTTACACTTCGCTTCTGAAAATGCGAACATCGTTGGCGAAAAATTCTTTAAGCACTTTGTGTTTTGTTTCGGTGTTGGGGAATATTTATAACATTTGTCCAAAACTTATAAATGGTTTGTTTTTAAACAGTTTAATAATATGGATATTTTAAAGATTATTTTAAAACAAGTTTAAGACATTTTTTATTTTGGAAAAATTTTAGAAGTTTAAGGACATTTTTAAAACACTTTGAGATAGTTTTAGGATAATATATATAAAACTAATCTAAAATTGTTTTTTAAAATCTAAATTGTTTTAAAACTGCTTTAAAATTTATATTGGCTTAAACTGTAAAAATATTTGAAACTGCCATAAAACCATGGTGTGCACTGTTCTATACCTAAAATATCCCGAAACAGTTAAAAAAATTATAAAACAATCTAAACATTATTTTAAAACTCTCTTAGACATATACACGGAGAGAAAAGTATAATGCTGATTACCATAATTATAATACCCTTTACTATAATTTATATTACTATTTGGGACAACTATCTTGTATATTGCCAGATACTATGCATATTCAGTAATTTTTAAATATCCATGTATGTTAAACCTTAAGGTAAAATATTATTATTCTCGACCAATTTTGTTTTTAATTCTTATTATAATTAGATTTTTTCCATTACTAATAAGTATAGTAAATTTTAAAATATTATGTTACCATTTTAAATATAAAATATTTTAAAATCGAATATTTTTATATCTTTTTAATATACAAAAATGTTATGAGAAAGAATTGAACCTACACCTCGCCAAAGTTTTTTGTTTTGAGTGCGTTCCATCAACTTCAAATACCGACAGACAGGTGTTTTGACCTATATTGGGTATCATCAGTGTCGACACGACACTGTCGAGCAACTTGTAGTAGTAGAACACACCCAAAACAAAGAAATACCTGAGCTTATATAACATGGTTGGTAAGCCAACAGAGGCGAGATGTAAGAACATCACGTGATCCACACCTTCTAACGACGCGTCGTGACGTGGCCTTTGCCGCAATCGGTACATACTATGCAACCAAGTAGGTTCAATTCTTTCTTATAAGTTTTACCAGTAATGGGTCAAGAAAGTTTATTGAAGAAACTAAGAAAATTGAATGTTTAAAATGCCATGAGTTACTATATTGTATATTATATTTAAATATATTGTTTATTTATCTTAAACATAAAAGTATCTTTATTTTTACTATATTTTTTATTAATGTGTAATATATTATATTAGATGTACACCTTACATTTGATTAAATCATATAGTAAATATTACTATTTGTAGATAGTAAAATCAATTTCCTATACGAACATATTAAAAATTAAAATATATATTATACATTTATGATTTAGTAATATTGGTGTTGTAATGTTTAATAAAATTGTATAATAAAAAATAGTATTTTGTATTACAATCTTAATATTGTATTGACGAATATATAATATTGTTACCCTAAAAATTTGTTAAAGTAAATTTTACTATATTTTTTTACTATCTAAAATTTACTATACATTTCTCTCCGTGTACAATCTAATAAATATCCTGAAAATAATGCTATTATAGCATATATAAAATTATATACGAATACGCGAGATAATGCGCATAATCTCGAGTGTAATACTATACTTTATCTACTCCCATAAGTAGATAATTAAATAATTTTAAAAATAAATAAATAAAATCCGACATATTTTAAATGGTTAACCTAACTTTTTAAAATTTTTTAAATGTTATTATAGTCGCCTTCTCCCAATTTCAAACCACAGTGAATATTGAAATCGGCCAATCACTGATGCCTAACAACGTAAATAATAAGTTTATTCCCGTTGTTAGGCAGGAAATTTATAATGTTTATGATTATTCACGAAAAAAAACAATATTATGCAATAAGAGTACATAAAATGCTTTCAAAATTGTGCTAAAACTTATTAAACCTAATGATTTGTTTTATCTATATTTTTAAACATTTTAAAGAATATTTTAAAACAACTTTAAGACAATTTTTGTTTTGAAAAACCTAGAAAAAATTTAGAAGTTTAAGGACATTTTTAAAACACTTTGAGATAGTTTTAGGATAACATATCTAAAACTTATATAAAATTGTTTTCTAAAATCTAAATTGTCTTAAACCTGCTTTAAAATGTATATTGTCCTAAACTATAAAAATATCTTTAACTATCTAAAAACTGTTTTTATATCCGGAAACAAAATTATTCAACAATCTAAAAATTATCCTTAAAATCGCTAATAAATCCCCTGAATATAATGCTATTTATTTATTACATTCCTATAGGCTTATAGCTTGTCCAGATAGACTAACTGGAACTTAACCAGAGATTGATAAACCGGCCCTAAGTAGATAAAATAAAAATAATAAAATCTGATATCTGTAAATGGTTAACCTTACTTTTTACCCATTTTATTGAAATCGGCTAATCACTGATGCCTAACAACGTAAATAATGAGTTCATTATTCCCGTTGTTATGCAGGCAATTTATAATGTTTATCATTATTCACGAAAAAACCCAATATTATGCAATATGGGTAGATAAAAGCTTTTAATGCTCTTCCAAATGATTTAACATCATTAAACGAATATATTTTATTTAAAAGTAAAGTTAAAATATTTTAAATTTCAAATGAATTCTACTCATTTAGTGTTTTTATAGGTCATTAATATTCCTGAACTTAATGGGTTGTTTTTGTATACATTTTATTTATTTTTATTTTTAGAAAAATGTTTGTTCCATAAATTGGAGTTATGTACTTTTTGTATTTATCTAGTGTTTTTTATATCTATGTTTATTTTGTTTAATTTCTAATTGTTTTTGACACTACTATAGCATTATAATGTCTTTTTGTTTTTGTAATATTTGATGGCAATAAAGTTTATTATTATTATATTTGTTTGTAGATGGTTTTTGAACATTTTTAGCTTTTTCGAGTTATTTTAGACAGCTTTAGGACTTTTTAGACATTTCTAAGAAAGCTTTAAGATTATAATTATATGGTTTTAAGAAAAATCTATGACAATTATTGTAAACATTCACAGTTACGATATTATTAAGAGTTTTATTTAGGATTTGCACTTTTAAGAGGATTTTGATATTTTACACAGTTTAGATTTGATTTGGATATGTTTTAGAGCAAATTTAGGACAGTTTGGAAAGTTTTACGACCAATTTACGATTTTAAGATGGTTTTAGGACAGTTAAAAAAACAGTTTTAGGCATTTATAATGAAGCGATTTGGTTATATTTGTACTACTTTATTCATTATATGATATTATCATTGTGTAAAGTTGGTAACACGTCTTAATTCGAATTTTCCGCCTTAATAATTCCCCGCGAAATTTAATAGTTTTTTTGGTGATACTTGGCCACCAATTGCCTGTTGTTTTTAGCAGTTGCTTGCAACGTTTTAGATCTTTAAATTTCGTTATCATCCTCTGGATTAATGTTCGTTTTGTTAAACGAAAAGTTATCTGGTGAAACAGGTAACTAGATTTAATAACAGAAGAATCAAGAAGTGTTACCAATTTGAGGTTCAATTTGTCTTAACAGAATAAAGCGTGTTCAGGAATTACAGTCTACCACCTACACCTTCGGCAAGTTTCCGACACTTTGCTGCAATAAGAAATCTTTGTAACTTAATTATAATGACATGGTTTAAGATAAATTTGGGACAAAGTCAGGCATTTTTACGACATTATTAAGACAGCTTTAGAAACATTTTAAAGTTTAGTTTTAAGAAGATTTTAAAGATTAGAACTTTCTATGACAGTTTTAGACAGTATTAGGACAATTACTTTGACAATTAGGACAGTTAGGACTAAATAATCAAGACTATTTTAAATTAGTTTTAAGATGACCAGAGCATTTTAAAGAGTTATAAAGAGAGATATTTTTTAAATTTCTAAACAGTTTTTAGACAATTTTAAGATAGTTAAGGGACAATTTTAGCATTGATTTTAGTCAGTTTTAGGATATTTTAGATATTTCTAAGCCAGTTTAAATAGGATTTGAAAATAGTTAAGAACATTTTTTTGAATATTTTAATCGGAACATTATTAAGTATATCTTGACAGTCTTAAATAAATATATTTAATTTTATTTTTTTTTTTAAATATAAAAAAAACTATCATGTGCTTACCCTTCGATCTAAAATTAGTCACTTCTACCCAAACACTCTTCTGACTTTTTCCCGAAGTAGCTGAATTATAATCGGTACTAAACTGTACATTGCTATAAATATCTAGCAACAATTGGTCCACCAAAGCAGTGGCCCTTCTCTTCTCCACCTCTGGATTCCTCTGCATGATGACGTCGCTGCTGAAACTTCTCCTGTAGGGCACCTGTCTGAGCATCCTTTTGGACGCAGTCTCCATCGGTGGAGTCCTGCAGGTGAGCACCAGGTCCCCAAACATCTCCGTGTGGCAAAACTCGAGCTGTTGGATGCGATACGAGGCCATGACTGGGGAACGATTTAATAAGTTTGGATAAGTTTTGTTGTGGTGGCTTTTTTGATAATGTTTTTTATGTGGTTTCCGGTGATATGAACGGTGCACGTTTGCAACTATAGGTTTGTTGTTACGCCGCGACAAGAGCGTTATCTATAAGGGACATCGAGTGCAATTATATGAATATATGCTGGTTATACAGTATTGTGCGAAAATATGTTTTTTTTAAATTTCTTATGAATTCTTTTTTAAAGGATTTAAACTAATTAATAGTATTATGTATCAAGTTTGATAAACGCCATTTTATACACGAATTTGAGGGTATAGAAAAGTTTATAAACGAGGTGCATATTATACTTTTTCTACGACAAATACTTATTATTATCTTAAAATAATTTAAATCAAAATTTGTATAGAGCGCCATCTATGAAACAATAGGGGAATCTGTGCGTCACCGTCAAATGTCAAATTTTTATATTTTATAAACACAGATTATAAACGTTATAAATCGAAATGTTTTTCTTGAAAATTGACAGTTTTTTACAGTGAAACTAAAGAAAATGTTTTATGAACACTTTACAGTGGAGTCCGTGCCCGAATTTAAGTTATAGTTTACTGCCGGCGAAATTAAAAGGTCAGTACAATGTTCATATAAACTTTTAAAATATTGAAGTTGAGAAACTATTTAATACTTTTGTATTTTTATTGAGATAATAAAATAATTTTCACATTTAGTATTATTTTACAAGAAAGGCACTTTATTTTAACGATTGTATGACATTTGACAACAGTCAACTAACTTCAGCCCGTGACTAAAAACCTGTTGCTAACTTCAGCCCGTGACTAAAGCGTCATAAAGCAACAACTTGTCAATATGTATTTAAAAGGTCACTTAGTGTCATGGAAACATGTACAATAAAGGACGTTTTAAAGGTGGGAGTAGAAAAAAGTATTTTTGCTCCTTTGCTCCTGAACTAGTTTTAATGGCCAAAACAATTTTAGACGTATTATAATGGCCCTAGGTCATTTCTTTGCACCTTTAAGACGATAGTGATGTGAATTTTAGGACAATTTTAGTACAATCTTAGACACTTTTTCTACAATATTTTTTTACACATTTTAACAATTTACAATATCAGGTCTTAGGATGTATTAAAAATTTTAAGAAAGTTTCAAAACAATTTTAGAACATTTCTAAAACCAGTTTACGCATTACTAAAATAGACTATCGGACAAAAGTTAAGCAACTATTTAAAAGATAAACTAATTATGTAGATATCTACGTAGTATTTTTAAAATTGGACTCTAAACTACCCAATTCTGCACTTAGCTTATTTTCATACTAAAATGCACTTGTACCATTTTGCTTCTTACCCCTTCATATATTATTAACTTTTAAATTTTATACGCGATAAAAGTAAAGCAACTTTTACGAAATAGTTATTTGTTTTACAAGTGTTGAAAAGCGACTTTTTCATGCGAGTGTTTAAGTTGCTCACGAGGCCATCAGACCGAGTGTGCATTAACACGAGCTTGAAGAAAGCTTTTCTCACAAGTGAAACACAATGTTTTTTCTACGACCCTTTTATTTTTTTTATTTTCAAATACTAAACAAAATAAACTAAAAACGTGTTTGACATCTGTTAATTTTAATTTTTAAGGTATAATTTACTTAAAATCAATAAAATTACTCTCTTAATTTAAATAAAGGCGCTAAAAATTAGAATTTAAATAAAGGCACTAAAAATTAGAATTTATTATGCAAACACAATTAATTGTGTTCTAAATTGTTTTAGGACATACATACACAAATACAAAACAAATTTTGAAACGAATGTCAAACAATGCTGACAATTTCTTTTTACACAGACCTGTCAGTTTTCACACAGAAATGTCACTTTACATTCGTGTTTTGTCTTGCCAATAAAAAGATTCATTTTCTAAGCAACGATGCCAATACGAAATGTGACTTACATAGTGGTCGTAGAAAAAGATATTTTTATTTGACCAAACAAATATGGGTGGTTATAGAACTAATAAACAATGTTATAAAAGTATAAGCCCCGGAAAAAGCCCCTTGCTACGTCCCTGTATGCATTTACCCGTGCACTAATAAAATAAATAGTAATCTAAATTTATACTATAGGAAACTTAAATGTTGCGTAAAGTTTATTTTATTGCATAGGAAGCAATTTTAAAAACTAATTGTTGTCTAATGTAGTCATAAAATTATAAATAACTACCATTAATGAAATTAATAATAATATTTATTAAACAGATTGGAAGCATTCCTTTAATTTTTATCATCGTACTAAATATTTTAAATAGTGGGGCAAACATTTTTTTTTATAAAAAATAATGTTTGAAATTTTTTGATAAAAATTGAACTAAAAGCCCACTTTTTTAATTATTATTTATTTCTAAAAATAGGTTTATAAATTAAAAACAACAATTAGCAAATTTATAATTAAACATGACATTTTTAAAAGTTCTAATTGCTTATTAGTTCATATAAATATTAAAATCCTCATTACTACCACACATGTTTACACATGACCACTTATTTTTTTTAACCTTGACTAAGACACCTTACCACAAAATTTAAAATTTAAATAAAACAAAAATAGTTTTTAATCAGTATTAGTAGTAGATAAACGTAAAGCAGGTATAATATATAATAACCAAACATATGTAAATAAATTTAAATGTATATGAGACACACATTTAAAATAAAACAAAATGGACATAATATAAAACGAATGAATTTAAATGAATCAGAACAGTTCTTTGAAGAATCACAATTTGCAAATAAGATTTTAAGATATACCTACAATGTCTCACCTGTTGAATGGATGAGTCACAAGTTATTCTTTAAATTAAATCAAATTAAAATAAGAAATCTCATTATAATATAAAAACACGTTTCTGGGCAGGGACGTAGCCAGGGGGGGTGTAGAGGGGTGTCACACCCCCCAACTTTATACAAGGTATTTCACATTCGTGGTCCATTACAAGTTTTTCGGGAACGAAAAAATATATCGATTTGAAATTTTAAAAGTTTTATAATCCATTTAAGTATATTTTTCTAAAATATTTTGAACAAAATGTCACTTTAACCAAAGTGACATTAACTTTGGTATTTCAAATAGAACACCCCATTTATTTTTACATTTTCAAATTTTACATAATCTGAAGTGAATAATTTTCCAGTTATTTATTTGTATCGTTAAAATTTGACTTAAAAAACTTAAAAACTATTCACCTTAGGTATAGGACATGGTTTAGTAATAATTATTTTACTCAAAATTTAATGTTAAAATATATAGGGTGTTCTTTTTGAAAAAACAAAGTTAATGTCACTTCTGGTTAGATCGAAAGTGGCATTTTGTTCAAAATATTTTAGAAAAATAGAAACCAGAAACTTTTAATGGACCACGAACGTGAAACACCCTGTATATATATTTCAATAAATAAATAATTTCCAATAAATGGCAACGAAATTTCGGCGGTTCATTTTCCGACAATTATTTACTTAAAGATTATTGAAAATACGAAAGCAGATCCTAATTTTTCTGTGAATTCGTTCAATGATATAGAAAAAATAAAATGTCCCAATACCATTTTAAAATCTGTATTGGAAATGTCCAAAATATCCTGAAACAGTGTACAAAGAATGTCTTTAAAACATCTCCATCACCTAATAAAATCTAAAATTGCCTCAAATTTCTCTAAATCCTTTTTAAACTTCTACAAAAGTCTACAATTTTCTAAAACAAATTGCCTAAAATTTGCCTGAAACCATTTCAAAAATATCCTAAAACTTTTAGGCTAAAACCTTCATATAAATGTGTAAAATTGCTTTAAAACTGATAAAAATAGGTTTTATTTTATTGTATTTGGGTCTAAGGTCTCTGGATAATTTATTAGATTCATTCATAAATTTTATTTAATTTTGGAAATTTGAAAAATAGTCGATATAACAAAAATGCATTTCAGAACTACAAAAGTGATTTTATGAATAGAAACACTTTTTAGGACAATAATGGTATATAATGTATCAAATTTAGTTAATGCCAATTTGGTTGCGAGTTATATTAGGCACGAGCGAAGCTTGCAAGCGGGTGTTTAATAAAAACGAGTGTTTAGAGAAGTTTATAAAAAGAGTTGCATACTATCTGCTATAAACACAAAGAAGAATTTTAAGTAAATTTTATTTGTTAAACATTTGATATATGTCAAATGTCAACGGATTTATCCTCATTTTCCCCCAATTTATAATAAATTTAACTTAAACTTTATCTGCTATAAACACACAGAAGAATTTTAAGTAAATTTTATTTGTTAAACATTTGATATATGTCAAATGTCAACGAATTTATTCTCATTTTTCCCCAATTTATAATAAATTTAAGTTTAACCCGTGAATAAAATGCCAAAAATCCACTATTGCTAACTTTAGACTGTGACTAAAACGCCATAAAGTCACAGCTCGCCAAAAAATAAATTAAATTAAAATAAAAAATTGATTAAATAAGCTTATTTTAGGTAATTTTTTTACCTTTTTAATTTTTACTTTTTTAATTTTTATTTTGTTGTTTAAAAGCGTTTCTAACACAATAGAGTAACCATCTTTGGAATCTCTAATGTAAATTTTTTTTGTGTAAATCGAAATGTATCCCTTGAAAATGGACTAACAACAATTTTTCACAGTATAAGTGAAGGAAATGTTTTATAGGTACTTCACCAGAAATTAAGTTAAATCTAGTTTACTACCGGCGAAATTAAAAGGTCAGTACAATGTTCATATAAATTTTTTAAATACGTTGAGACCTATTTAATACTTTTGTATGTACATTTTTGTATTGAGATAATAAAATAATTTTCACATTTAGTAGATATTATTTTACAAGAAAGGCACTTTATTTTCACGATTTTATAACATTTGATAACTTTCAACTAACTTAAAATTAACTTCAGCCCGTGACTATAAATCTGTTGCTAACTTCAGCCGGTGACTGAAACGCCATAAAGCCACAACTGGTCAATGTGTATTTAAAAGGTCAGTTTCATAAAAATATGTACGATAATGGGCGTTTTAAAGGTGGAAGTAAAAATTTATTTTTGAGGGTCGAAACTGGTTTTTGAGAGAAGATATCGACGTCGATATCTAGTACTACTTTACAAATTCCCAAAATTAAAGAAAAGTGGCCAAATAACTATACTAATATACTTGTATAATTTCATAGGCCTGCAATTAAATGTACTATGCTTCACACATAAAAGTACCAATACAAATGATTGAGGTTTGGTTAGTGCCTTAGCACAATTCCGCGCCCTTTACAATAAGTTTTGTTCTATAAAGAAACGCCACCAGCGAGAAGAGAAACAAAACGGCCACTATATTTATACTAATTTAGATATGTAAATTTCTTAAAAATATTATTTGAGTAATTCTAATTATTTTATTATTGAAAGTTAAAAGATTAGTTAATAACGAAATTTTAATTAGGTGGTTAAAATGATTTTCTTAATTTAACACTTACCGAAATTATTGGTAGGACTCTTTTTAGTCATTTGTGGGTGAAAATAAATCGTCTTTAAATTCTTTATTTATTTATTTATTATTAATTACTTTCCATCAAATGTAACACTATACAGGATGCCTCAAAAATTAACATATTTTACAAGTACAAGCCGAGCTACTACACGAACCTTTTTTCGTTACCTCCGCGTCAAGTCAACCGTCAAAAACAAACTAAGTCGCACTTTCACAAGCCAGCGCTATATGCTCACAAAACGCACAATATGATATGATGTGATAATAAATATTTATGCAATAACAACATTTTAAAACTTAATAAAAACAACATTTAATTAGCAACAATGGAGTTTTGTTATGGAGTTTAGTTATTTGTTCATAGATGGCTCCGTTAAAAGGACTCCCTGTTAATTTGCAACATCTATGACAAACTATGATTGCGAAAAAAAATTATATTATATTTCCATGGGCGAAGGAAAAAATATTATTGGCATGGACGCTTCTAAACTGTAAGCCAATTGAATTATCTGTTGAAAATTATTAATTAAAAAGAAATTTTGAATTCTATTGCCTCCCCTGCTGAAAATTCTGGCTACGCCCATGAATATTTCCACGCGAATTTAAGTTTATTTGTAGGGAGGGAACTGTTAAACATTAATTAATAATTACCTAAATTAATTAATAAAAGTTACGGAGGTAACTGTACACTACATTGCTAGCAAATTTACTAAAACTACATATGATGTAAAATCTATGAGTTCTTTGTTTAATATCTTAATGGTATCAATGGTAAAGGCCTATTCGTATTTAACGTTATAGACCTTTATTAAGGTCTTATGAGATCATTTTTAATTATCTATGGCATACCGAGATATTTAAATTATTAAAAACATTGTTTACAAACAGTTAGACAACTCTTTGAAATTTGGAACATTTTGTCAAAAATAATAACTGTTTAAAAAAATTGTTTTTGAATAACTGTAAATAATATTATTAAACTTTACTTACAATTTAAAAATCACCGAATATGGATTTTTTAATTTTAAAATAATTATAACAAATACAAAAAATCCCACAAAAGCAAAAACCAAATTTTGTAAGCTTAAAACTTCTACTTACTATTTCTCACTATTTGATGATTAATAAAAAAATTCTTAAAAAACTTCTGACATTATTTGTCAATAAAAACACTTTATACATACAGGGGGTTATTTTTCTTTTGTAGAATATTTTGTAAGGGGATTATACATGGTGTTCGTTGTTTTATATAAAATCGATAAACAACGATCTAACAGCTAGTTGACAGTTTACAAGAGATTACAAGGTTTTAGCTCAGTTACTTTAAGAACATTTTGCAAAATTAACAATTTTTTAATAAATATTCCCCAAAGTGAAAGAGCTAAAAAGATTACAAGATATACACAAAGAGTGCGGAAAACACAATATTGTCATTTTACATATTATTTCACTACTGGTATATTTTGGGACAATAAAATTAATTATTACTATATGAGAATATTTCATCAAATATTAACATCTTTTTTCGACATTTTTAAGTTTGTTAATATGTTGATGAAATGATTTTTGAAATTAGCCCTTAAAATAATGTTAGCCCTTTACACGACTCACTCGTTTCATAACAAAACATTTGAACATCCATTTTACGCCTAACATAACATAGCCCAGTCAAATTAGACAGAGATTTTTTCCGAAGTAAAACCCTGGATTGACTGGGCTAATTAGTTTAGACAAGACTTTTTGGGTAAAAATTACATCCGATTTAAAGCAAAAATTTTTTTTTTAAAGTATGACATATTTGAAGCCCAAAAAGTCCATTTCGGTAGCCTAGGCAGTGACATCAACAACCCATATTGCTTTGTGTTACGATCTATCATTATATATATTTGTGCATATTAAACAATTTTTTGTAAGCCTTCCGAACAAATTTCACATTGGCCATATTTTACATTAGTATGTTGTTTGTTAATTTACATTACTATTTTATACAAAACCTATCTGCTCTCTAACATTGTACAAAATCTAGTGATATGCACATCCACACAAAGAGGATAACACATGGAACCTTTTTTTCACCAAAATGGTGTATGGTTATTTTTCTTCAGATTAATAATTGTTGATAAAGGGTCCTTTTCGTAAATTCTCTCTTTCTGTATAAAATAGTGTCGTTCGGAAGGCCACAGGTTCAACAATCTTACTGTTTCAACAATCAGCATTTTAGTAACGTAATATATTTCTAAATAAACAAAACATAACAAAGCGATCGCAACAAACTTGTTCGTTATTTTATTTTTAAGCAAATTACATGTCTCCGAATATACCGGCGAACGTTTTCCGTAGATTTTTCATGGTGTCTTCGGAATCTTCTGAGGTCGCTTGCTGGCTGCCCTGTCTTTGGAATGGTCTTGGAGGTGGGTCTGGAAGACGGCCTGTGCTAGGTGCTGAACTACCTACACTTGACTGGGAAGCTATAAAATAAATGTATTACAATACACGAAGAAAAAATATTAAAGGTGCCCAAGTAGCATTTTTAGTGGATAAACCGTATCGCTCAATCATACTTGGAACTGTAAAGTGTATTGACAAAATTTCTGCCACGTGGTATAAACGGTTTTATTACGTGGAAGTGACTAAAATGGGGAACACTTTTTTATTGTCACTTACGTCCTATCAACGTTCTTAAATTGTATACAGCCTCGTTTATACCATGGTACAAGAAAGCTAGGTTTGTTCTTGCGCTTCTGTTTGGCGAAGAGTTGGAAGCATCCACTCGCCGCCTTATTGACTATTTACATTTTAATGTGAGTTGTTTTTTAAGCTATTTTAAAGTTTTGTAAGTGTAAAAAATGTCTACACGCCAATTAAAAATCTGTAAAAACAATGCTAAGAAAAAGAAAACCTGGAAATCCAATACATTTCCTTCGTATGGAAAAAATTGATGTTAAGGATAGTAAGTAGATTTATTTGAAAAACAATTTAATAGCAGTATATTTTTTTACAGATATATAAATAAAAAAATAATTTAGGTTAATGTTTTAGGTTAATATTTTTGTTTGTTTTTTAGCATGTATTTGTTTTATTTACTTAAAAGATAGTTGCTATAAGAAGAACAATTGTATCGAAAAAACATACAAACTACATTCCCATAAAAAAGTTTTAAAAGTGGATACGGTTCCAATTTTACACTTAACAGTTGATCTATCAAAAAAAATCAAGTACTTTGTAAGAAATTAAAATAAAATTGGAAAAAACAATATAAATTATAGTTTTTTTACAGTGTACAAGAAATGGGACAAAACCAGGAAGCATAATATGATCTTTTAATACAGACCCGTAACATTAATCAAAATTAAATCTTTCTTTTTGCATTGTGCAGGATATGTGCCGAGAAGGAAGCTAATGATCTTCAAAGACAGTCCATAAAAGAAACTTAAACTGCAGCATGCTGCTGATAATGAAATGGCCGGGATTGAAACATCCCAAAAGCATTAGAAAACCAGCTTATACCATACCATTATATAATATTTTTCACAAGTTTAGTTTATTTTTTCAATGTTGGCTCCAGGGTGGCCAATTTAGGGTTTTTATTTGGCAACTAAACCTAAATTGCAATTATTTGTTTATACAATTTTGTAATAAATAAATTTATAAAAAATATGCCGTTTCCATTTTTCTTGCAATGTTAATGTAGTAACTTGACACTTTTCATTTCATTCTTCATATTTGGTTTAAAACAGGATATTTTATTTTATTAAAAACACTTGACTTATAAATGGCTTTATAACAAGTTATTTTAGTTGAAAACCCATTATTTAAAACATTTAACCTAAAAACTAAAATTACATTTTTCTTAACACTTTTTTCAAATACCTATTCTATTTTGTATTTAGTAAATATTATTTACTTTAAAACAATATGTTTTGTTTGATTGATAACCATATAAAATAGTTTTTTTGGTTAATAATATTTTTTTGAAATGTTAGTATTGTTTTTACGTGTGATATTTAAATTATTCGACAATTTAATCTAAAAATCGAATTGAATCGAAAAATATCATTTAAATTCAAATGCGGGAATGAGCTAAGATGGCGGTAACTGGGTGGTGCGCAAAGTAAACTAAAATTCGTCCTACTAAAGAACATACCTTGTTTTCTAGTACCATGGTTTATACCACGTTGTGATTACGTTTTTATAACGAGGAGTTATAGTGACCGAAACTATCCACTCTTTACTTTCTATCCTTATCTCTTTTCAGCATAACATACTATACATAATTTTATTATTTATCTTATTATCTTTGCTTTCTCTGAAACTGGACATTAAACTGACACTGAATACTAAAATTAATATAATGTAAGAATAAAATTTGCAAATAATAATAACTAGAATTGACATAAAATGAACACAAATAAAATGTTACTGTCAAATATGGTTGTCATAGCTCGAAATATAACCACGTTGAAATATGTGGTACCTAATGAAAAAGGATATAAAAATCTGCAAACTTTATTTAAAAATTATTTATCTAGAGCCCTTAATTTCTTAATTATTTCTGGCCACCTGAAACCAATAATTATGTATTAACGTGTTAAATTTGGTGCGGTACTAACCAGAATTATTTGTTTAAAACTACACATTTATTTTCCTACAATGGCGACTATTTGTAAGCATGTCTGGTTTTGAATAAGGGAACTTTAAAGTGCACCATGGTAATCCTACCGTAGAAATCACTTAAGCGTGTAGCAATGACCAACGCAATCAAGTTTTGCAAATTTTAAGGTTTGGGAAAAGTTGCATTTATAATCCATGGATGCACTTTAAAGTTTAGACAACTTTAAAGTGGTGACAAAAGTGGTCATAACGTTTCAGATACCGCACTAAAAAGTTATAAAACTATGAAGTATATTCTGCTGGTGCAAGATTACAACTATGCTGTATCGTGGAAGATCTAGTTATTTTAACGTAACTTCCACTAATCACTCAGTTTCGATATCAGTTTTCGTCACTATAATGCTACTTGGGTGTTGTTACAGTCAAATTAAATTATAGTAAAAACCATATGTGTTCTATTATTTTACCTATAACTACATTATTTTTAATGCAATTACGACAGTTTTACTTGATTGCAAAGTGCTCATTTTCGTAGTGCTGTGACGTAAATAATCACGTGTTACGCCATTTATTTAAGAAGTTACCTATAAGCTTTTTTTATGATTTTTTAATCACTGTAGAAAAAACATATATTTTTTAAGTAAATACTTAATCTTTATTTTACTAATTGTAAGCTAAATTAGCGGAATAATTTTTAGATAATTTGATGCTCCTAAAGGATCATCAGTTATTTATAAGCATAAGCATAGTAAAAGAAATAAAGTAATTACTAAAAAACATATGTTTTTTATATGAGAGGTTATCTTCACTTAGTTACCTTGACTGTCTCTTCTTCCAACATTAGCCAAAGAAGAATGATCGCTACTAGCACTTGGAGGTGGTGTCTCAGAATGAGTAAGGCTTGTAAGGCTTCCCAGGATACCTCTTGGACCAACAGGCGGTGGTACAGGCTCCTCACTTGGCGGAGTTCTAGGTCTACATATAGCCTGCATCCTAGACACAACCAAATCAACTATATGTCTCCTATCCTCCTCTTGCGAATCACCAAGAAGTGTTAAAGCACTATCATTAACTTCTATGATGTATTCTCGCCCGTCTTTGCCGACTACAACTTCCAAAGCGCATATATCCAAACCTCCAAATAAATCCGAAACTTCATCGATCCAGTTCTTGTATCTTTCCGGCATTGAAATCTGTTCCAACATAGCAGACCCAGTGTTGGTTTTCCAGCATCCGGAAATGGATTTTCTCATGAACGCTTTGTAGTTAGTGCCGATTTTTTGGACGTGGATGTCGTATTTCGAGTCGATGTAGGTCTCAACAGTGCAGTAGGTTTTCGATACGGCAACCACGGAAGCCATGTCTTGGAAGTCGTTTACGTTGTCCACTTTGACTTTGCCTAAGCCGCCGTGTGCGTGGCCGATTTTCAGGACCACAGGGTAACGGGGAGCAGTTATCTGAAATGTAACAAGCATGTTTTGATATTGTGTGTGCAAATTTAATGACATTAGAAGCTGAGTTGTAGCCCTAAAACTAACCTAACTTTTTTAAACAAAAAATGGTTTTATTTATGAGTAGTAAGTATGAGTATATGAGTATAAAGTCTATGTCTGACGGTGCAACTTCTCGCGGCGACTTTGTTGCGGCGACTAGGTCGCCGCGATTTTTTGGTGGTCACACGATGCAACTAATCAGCTGATCTAACCTGTCCTAAAATAGAACATGTTCTATTTTCATGCAATAAAATCGCCGCGACTTGGTAACTTTTTTGGGGATTTACGAATTTTCACTAAATTTTTTGGTTGGTACTTAATATTTATCAGCTGTGGAATGACAGATGTGATTTGCGTGTGCTTTAATCTGAGTGTTTTTATTTTTACACCACAAAATACTTATAACTATACTTATAGGTAACTAAAAGAAAAATAAAACCGATTTAAATAAACATTAAATTTGTTTAGGTATTTTTGTTTTTCAACTAAGTAATTTTCGGTTATGTTGTCAATCCTAGTATAAAATAACGTCAGTTTGGTTGCACCGTGTGAACACCCTAGAGGCGAGAAAGTCGCTGCAACTAGTCGCCGCAACAAAGTCGCCGCGAGAAATTGCACCGTCAGACATGGACTTAAGAGACGTATAACCAGCCCCATTTCATCATCACTCCCGGACCCCGTACAGGCCTATGTTTACTTACGCCGATTTTTGTTCGCCCCCAGCAACTGCACGGCTTCACCTGTGTTTGGTTTTATTTATTTGCATATTTTATAAAATTTGCGTTTTTGTGCATTGATCCATGGTGAAACTTTAAGCCCTACTAAACACAACGCACCGGACTAATTTTTTTCTGACTATTTCCCTCGTCTTAATTTCCACCAATCACAAACGCGCAATTTTGAATTACAAATGGTTTCTAGGTGAAAAAACTGTGTGACAGCACCTGTCAGCAGTTTTTTCGAGTTTACCCGCGGCCACGGACTTATATACAGGCCTTGCTTCGAGGTGGCTTCCTTAAGAGCCGTTTCACATGCGACTGATAAAGTCCTGACGATCAGTCCTGATGGTCAGTCCTGATGACTAGGGGCCATTGTTTAAATGAACTTTTTCACATGCACTGCGTATCATCGGTTGACTGATTCGTCGGCACGGGCATCGGGACAGCCCGTGCGCACTGCGTACCGTCAGGACTATTAAGGGCTGTTAATTATATGGAGTATTTCATATGGTACGTACGGTCAGCAGAAACAGTGTTGCACAATGAGTAGTTTACGCATTGATACTGAAATTGTAATAAATAGCATCGAACAGCGAAGATGCATCTGGTATGCAGATGATGAGAACTACAAAAATAGGGATGCAAAGAACAAAGCATTTGAAGAAGTAGCGTAAATAGTAGTTCCGGATTTTGAAAATTTTGCGAAAGCAAAGAAGAACTTTTTTGCCTTGTATTATTCTCTTTATACAAAAAGCGGCAACAGCGCAGTTCCGGAGGCGCTGAGAACCGTCTCGTAGTAGACATTTCCGTACTATACTTTGCTTGTGAAACAATGGTCATGACCGTCAGTCCGTATCATCAGGACTGATCGTCAGGACTTTATCAGTCGCATGTGAAACGGCTCTAACGTGCCAAGCCGCTAGGTGGCGCTAAGATCGAAGGGTAAAGTCAATTAAATGAACTACTTAGTTAAATGTGGAACTACTGCATAACCATAACCTAACTTTTTAAATTCTTTTTCTATGTTTTGTTTACATTTTCAAAAATTTAATATTTGTGAGTTTGTTTCGGATAATTTACTTTAACAAAATAGGACAACAAAGTCTATACTCTATGCACAAAGTCCTCGGCCGTCACATGCCCAGACCAAACATGTAAGTAAAACATGTTAATGTATAAAATACAAACGTATATCATATATATGTTACGGCTAATGTGTAAACATGGATAGTTTATAAAGTAGCTGGGTAGTTTATAAACTAGCCAAACTGTCAGCTATTTTAATCTATTTTAATCTAATTAATAAGTAAAAACTTCCTGTAACAAAATACACAAGCTTGTGTATAAAAATGTAGGTTATGTTTCTTAACACAGAACATTAGTAGTTAGTTCATTTGACATTTTATCCCATAGACTTTAAGGACTTAGAGCCGGTTTTACAATCGTTAGATTAAGTTAGCTTATTAGGCGGATAACTTTTCATAGAAACCTTCTATCTAAGAAAATTATCCACCAGAGAGCTTATCTAACGATTGTAAAACCCAAAGATAAAGAAGGTAAAAACGACCTTTAAACATCTATGGTTCACCCACAACTCGATGCGCCATCTGGTGGGTGTCTCATTAGAGAGGTCACTTTTCCTATTGAAATTGGGCGAAGTTGCAAGACCTGTATATAAGACCGTGCCCGCGGCAAAACTTGACAGCTGTTGTCACCAAAAATTGCAATTTATATTTTAATTGTTAACTGTTACTCGTGAAATAGTCTTGTCAAATACCATTCGGGCATATAATTTTTCCTGTGAAAAAAATCGAAAAAACACAATGCTAAATAATATTTTTTTAACAAAATGCATTCGTGCAGGTGCAAAAATCTCGTCTTCGATCGGATTTTTGTTGCCACCAGCACTCATGCTTCTTGTTAAAATATTACTTAGCAACCTATTTTTTCGATTTTTTTCGGAAAAATTAGATGCCCTTATGATATTACTTACGACTATTTCCCTCGTCTTAATTTCCACCAATCACAAACGCGCAATTTTGAACTACAAATGGTTTCTAGGTGGAAAAACTGTATGACAGCACCTATCAGCAGTTTTTTCGAGTTTACCCGCGGCAAAACTTGACAGCTGTTGTCACCAAAAATTGCAATTTATATTTTAATTGTTAACTGTTACTCATGAAATAGTCTTATCAAATACCATTCGGGCATCTAATTTTTCCTGTGAAAAAAATCGAAAAAACACAATGCTAAATAATATTTTTTAACAAAATGCATTCGAGCAGGTGCAAAAATCCTCGTCTTCGACTCGGATTTTTGTCGCCACCAGCACTCATGCTTCTTGTTAAAATATTACTTAGCAACGTGTTTTTTCGATTTTTTTCGGAAAAATTAGATGCCCTTATGATATTACTTACGAAAATATACCTTTCCAATAGCAAAACCCTCACTGGGTTTGTAAAAGTTTTTTCAGGCAAACATCGTTCTCCCAATTATAAAGGATCTGTGCGACTAATGTTGGACGCTTTTTACAAAGTAAGAGTCGATATGTCGCTAAAAATTCATTTCCTTCATCGCCATTTGCACTACTTCAGTCGACAGAATCAGATGAGCAGGGAGATCAAACTGACTAAGATCAGGAAGAAAATGAAAATGAAGAACAAGAAAATAAAGGAGAACAAATGAAAGGGATGGAATGGGGTAGTTAAATTTTTTCTGACCTATACTTTTTATGGTTTTATTCAAGGCGTTTTGTAATTTTAAACATTTCTGTGAAATCGGAATTTCAATTGAGTTTACCGTTTTCGAGATATTTACAAAAAAAAATCTCCTAATTACGTCACTAGACTATTGACAACGTTGCCAGCTTTTTCTATGGTTGCCAGTGTCTTTAGTTTAAGATTCTTACGATAGATGGCGCCACGTTATAATATTTTAGTTTTAAAACCACTTGATCTATAATTTTAGTTGAGAAGAAGAAGAAGAATTGCTTTTTTGACATTTCTTTTTTTCGGGTTATGTTTTTTTTTTAAATTTAGATTATTGAAATTCAATGTTATTGTTATGTTATTTGTAATTGATATTAGATAAGTGATTTATTAATAACGGACTCCAAAGCAGAGGAATCTTGTGGAATGGTTGGTTACATTGAACATTGGAGCTTTTAAACAAATAAAGTAAGTACCTATAATTATAATCATATTTTGTCGTAAATGCATTTCATTAGTATAATGCCTAGTTCTTTATATTTTTTTAGATATTTCTTTGACTCTAAAATATCAAACAGTAATATGATACCTCGTAATAAGGAAGATAATTAGGTACTTAATGAATTTGGTGACCATCTTTCACTCAACTGACAGTGACAGTATTTGTACATAACCTCTTCGGGTATTTTCTGACATAACCGAATGAAATCATTAACAAGACAACTTGACAACAGGGTAATTTTCAACCAATAGAAATCTTAGAATGTTGGTCACATGGCGAGGTTTGTGACGTCATAAAAATTTAAATTTTTTGTACTAATCTCGAAAACGGTAAACTCAATTGAAATTCTGATTTCACAGAAATGTTTAATATTACAAAACGCCTTTAATAAAACCATAAAAAGTATAGGTCAGAAAAAATTTAACTACCCCATTCTCCAGCAAAGAATCACATAACTCAATGATTTGATGTGAAAAAGTTTTTTAATAATAAAATGTATACAAAATAAACAATCAAACTCTTTGTACTTTTCTACAATTATATTTTATCTATTCAATTTTTTCCTACAGATTTTCCAAAGATTTTGGCAAAAAATTTGGAGTTGAGTGTAAAAGATGAATATTTTGGAAAATCTTGTTCAAACATTGTTTTTCAGCAAATAAGCAAACTTAAAGTTCAGGTTATTGTGCGTATTTTATAAATTACTTCTTATAGTATATTTTACAACATTTTTGCCAAAAGAAGTAGCAAGAAATTTTAAATATTATCGAAAAATTCAAAAAAATGTAATTTTTCGAATATTTGGTCCCAAAATTTGGGTTTTGGGATATAGGTTGTTCACAAAATGGGTTTATTTGCGCAGTAACTACAGTTCTACAAAAAATCTTGACGATTTAAATCGAATATATGCGAAAAAAAATCGATTTAAGTATAAATTGGGGTATATGAAGATCGAAAATACAAACGGCCATAAAAAAAATTCGAGCTAACTTTTAAAAATCCCGCGAGGGTTTTGCTATTGGATAGATATAATAT